TCAACATGTTCAGATCAGGACGAACGCATATTAAGACCGCGCAGATTTACGGCAGATTAACTCGGCGCAGATTTACGGTTATACTGGCGCCAAAGTAATTCGAGTGTTAGTGCGTCAACTTTATAACAAGGTGCGCTTGAGGCGGCAGAAATTCCTGGCCCACCTTGCTTGTATCTCTGCGGTTGCGGCATGTACATCTCCTCTGCCAGCTCCTCCTCGAGGAAGGCCGTCTTGACGTCCAGATAATACCTCTTCAAGTCGCGCTCCGCAACCACCGCCAATAGCGCAAGCAACGTCGTGTGCTTGCTCACCGGGGCGTAGACCTCCTCGAAACCTATTCCTTGCTTCTGCAGGTAGCCCTTCGCCAACAGCCGGGACTTGTACCGCTCCACATTCACGTTAGAGTCCCTTTGATCATGTAAACCAACTTCATGGGAACCGGCTTGACCCCTTTCAATTTTTCGGCAATCTCCCACGTCCCGTTCTCCAACAAGGAACGCATCTCCTCGTTCATCGACTTCCGCTAGAGATGGCACTCTTTTCCCTCTACGGCTTCTTGATAACTTTGCGATTCAAGGTGCTCACATGTCCTTCGAAGTGCTCTCCCGCTTCCGTATCCGACGCCAAGTTGGCGTGCTACCACTCCCCCCGTGTGCGTTTGTCTCGCGCGGGGTACCTCTGAGCAGCCGGTGTTGGCATCCCTGTGTCCTCCGCAATCTCGTTCGGCTCTGCTCTGCTCTCACGCACCGTTTCCAGAACTTGCGTGGGCCCGATCATACGGTGGACAGGGACCGCCGGTCTAATTCCGGTTCCGCGCGACGCATCGAGCGACGCAGGTTTCACCGCGGAACTTAAAAGATCAACGACGGCAAAAAGTTGATCCTACACAGAATCGAACCTTTTCGCATTGGTAACCGTTGAAATCACGCTGAGTTCAGCAGACTTGTGCAACGTCAGCCAGGACATTGTTTGACGGTGTAACCCAATTTTTAACCTAATTGGTTACTGACAACAATGAGAGTTAGACATAACAAACTTATGATGTCTGCAAAAAGAGTTGACGAACCCAGCGTGAGAGTGTTCTACTCAAACGCTTAGTTCGTCGACCCGACACTTATCTCGTTAAATAAACTTATAGATTAACGTTAGCAAAGGGGGCTGCGTGGGGTGCGGGTGTTTGGTACGTTGAGCATATTGCTCATGCCACCCCCTTAGTCCACATTCGCCCTGCCCAAAACGTTCCGAAATAAACTTATATTCGGTAATTGAACGTTAGTTTAAAGGGGACACTAATTGCCGACCTCAGCAAAAGTGTGTGTGCCATTGGGGAGGAGAAAGATGGTTCAAGTTGTTTGACCCAACTTCCTACTCACCAATGGCTGATAAGTCTTGTGCAAACAAAACTATCAACCCAATTACTGACCTCAGCAAAAGTTTGACGCCATCGGTCAGGAGAAAGATGGCTTTAGACCGTCATTCTACTGACCGATGACGGGCAGGTTTTGTTCTCAAACAATCTTATAATCGGGAATCAACATAGTCCCCTTACGACAGCAAAAGTACAGGGCGTAGTTCATCCTGAACTTCGTCCTACGTCGAGGCTAATCAAGTTTAAACTTATAACTTGGAATCGACGTTACTTAGCTGATTACTGGCTGTATTAACACAGCCATGCACCCTTTGACGAACGCACATGCGTACGGAACAAAAGATTGGGTGCCCCGGGATTCGAACCCGGTAATCTGAGCTTGGATCCGAGTGTCATCTTACACCCCGGTGGTCCCCCTTTTGGCACGAAGCCCGCCGCAATACTCTGCGCCCTACTAGGCCAGCCCGTACAGCTGAAGCCTTTCAGATCGGCTTACGAGCGTCAGCGCGCGAGTGGGGTACTGACCGGTGATGCAAGCGGGAAGCCTGGCAACCCGCTAGGTCATCCGTACTGACCAATACCCTGGTCGATACCCTGATCCTCTTTAAATCTGGTATTTAAAGTCCGACAACTTCATCCAGAAAGTTTGTGGGTCCACTTGGATCGCCACCGTTGATTCTTTGACGGTTCCGTCCTGG